TACGTGAAACCTTAATAGATAATCTGCTTGTGAGCAGATAGGACACTCTAGATAGATGGGATAAATCAACGATGGAAGATCAATCTGGATCAACTGTTCTATGATACCACTAATTAGATTTCACCTGTGCATTCATGCTGAACATTTATAACACCAAAGAAATGAGTAACGATCTACAAGTTCTCCTTTGAACTTACGTTTATAATCTATGACGGGTGAATAACTGAAAACCGAGATACTGTTATCTTATGGAAAACCGAGATATGGTTATTTCTTGATGAACTGGGTTAGCAATACGAAGACAGTCAGTCTTAACCCTGCCTATTAGTTTTTTCTGCAGATAACGCCCCTAATAGATTGGCTGTAAATCAGTGAAGGGAAACGCATCAATGGGAATTGAGCCTCCATGTAACTGAGGGGCAGATGAATCCATGGTGACACAGTACCAATGTTGGATGGTGGAGACAGGGTTAACCCATTGTGTATGAATGTGGTTGTACATGCAAGACAAAGTTGTTGATTTTAAGAGTGTTTTTTTCTGGAGTTGGTGCAATTATTTCTATGCATAGTTCACTTATTATAAATAAAGCATTTTTATATTTTTTCTACTTATGGTCTGGATTAACTTCTTTCGGTCAGCGCACAGAACAGTGCTTGCGACCATTCTTTGTTTTCTTACATGTTATGCCTAGTTACATACCTAATATGATTGGTGACTGTTATGCCACGTAAGGGATGCCGTTTCTATGCATAAGTTAATACATTTTTCTCCGGGGAACCTTCTTGTTTCTACTTGGTTCAAACCCAGTTTAACTAGGTTCACCCAGGTCACTCAAAACTGTGACCACTACCCACCATCTGTGGCCCGTTTGTGACACATAGCTGCAGGGTAGCAAATGCACCTGCATTTGAGTGGGCTTGGATATACTCATGCGAACTGGGTTGGCACCAATGTGAAGACATGCTCATCAGTTTATGGGTTATGTGTGTGTTATTGTTGGGCTATTTTTAAGTATGTTATACCCGGTAACCTGTTTATCAAAAGACTGTCATCACTACCCCCGTTAGCTCTCTTTGTACTCCCAAGGAGCTCAGGACAATGGCATTCTCTTGCCGGTGCATCTGGCCAGACCCCTGCTATGGCTGTCTGGAGCTCTTTAGCAGCTAGACCCCTGCGGGGTTGGGGAGTCAGGATGTCTCGGGAGCGCAGGGTGTATGTGATGTGATTACAACCTTATCGGATCACTTTTTGTATAAAAGGTTGCACAGTTGCGCAATAAAGCAGAGTTTGTTTCACCCTACACTTGGTTTTGGCTAGTGACTGGGTGAACTGGGAGCTAAAGATCGCCGGGGTGCAGCATCTCCTCAGCAAGGAAGACTACAGCGGTAGATGTACTCATCCTGAGTAGTGGAGTCTGTCACAACCAAGAACAAGCTCATCACACTGACTTACCCATCACTTTTATTGACAACCTTACTAATAAATGGCTAGGAGTTGGGAAAGTCAGCTCTATATAGGAGGGACAGAGGGATTTGGTTCTGACAGACAGACAATCCCTAAAATGAGGGACAGTTGAGACTATACCACACATCTGGCTGTCAGGGGGGTACGGCTGGGCCGTGAGTGGAACCCCTTGGCAGGGGCGGCAAGCTAAAGTCCGAGGTCATGGTACACAGGGAAAATCCAAGAAGAATAGTCAGGTCCAATCCGGGTCGAGGCAGGCAGCTAGTTTCAGTAACGGAAGGGTAAGCCAAAGGGTCGGTAATCAAGAGTCCAAGCAGAGGTTCAGAAATAAAGACAGGTTCAAGGCACAGGGAGCTGGGAGATCACACCATAGGGATAGAATAACTCAGCAACGAGCCAGGGCTCTGACTGGGCTTTTATACTCAGTGGAGGATTGAGACCATTCCCCGGCTACCGAGGCAACCAGGTAGCCTCTCCATCAGGAGCCAATGGCGAGAGAGGGCCAGAGGGTGTGTGCTGGGAACCTCCCCCAGCAAGGATCACACCTGACACCAGTAACAGGTGCACTACGTGCATGTCCCCGGCCTGCGCGCGCAGCCTGTCCACCGCGCACTTGTCGCGAATGCGTACCCACAATCCTGGTACCAGGGGTCCTGCCAGGAAGGGGAACTTGTGCCCCCCGCTGCACATGGCCACCCTGAGGAGAGGTAAGCCCCCTAGTACCCTGACACTGGCACAGTGTGGACAAGTCAGCATTCAATCAGTTTAGTTAATTTCTCTTCACTGTGTTGCAATAGTCAGGGTCAGAGAAGACAAGGGAGTGAATAAATAGCTTTGTTATGTCATTGGTTAGGACAGAACCCAGGATTATATTTAGTATGAGTGGAGAGACTGATAGTTGTGCTATTGTTCTTGATGGAAAAGTCAGGGGTGGGGACACAGGGGAGGAAATATCATGAGCTCAGCTTTTGAAAGATTGAGTTTGAGGAACTGATATGTTGTTAGCACACTAGTGATGTGTGATGGGACTGAAGGAGTGAGCTGAGGAGTGGAAGGATACATTTGGATTTTGTGAGCATAGAGATGGGATTGGAAGCCATGGGAGGTTATTAATTGACCCATGGAGGAGGGTCAGGAGAAGATTTCCAAAACATGAGACCCTGTTCCAGGTTGTGACAAGGTGCTACATGGACACAGACAGCGATAAAAATGAAAGCCCAACACTGGGCAGCAGCCACAAATTACCCTTGCAGTAGAGCCTCCCTACACTACAATACATATGTTGGGCTGGTAGCCCTGAGTTGTGATATTCCCCCATTGAGACCTCCACCAGAGTGGGACACACTTCTATAAGACCACATCCACCTTCACCATGGCTAGCAATCACTGCAGCATACTTTGTGTGGTGTACTTTCTTTAGCTAACCGGAAACCATCCCTACCATGAAATGTTAAGCTGGCTGTGTTTGCCTGAGTTATTTGTTTATTTTTTTAGTCTTTGTGTCTTTATTAATTTCTTTATTTAATTTCCTGCCATCACCCAAACCACCCTCTCCACTCCTCCCAAGACCTTTTTCTCTCTTGCTCCCTGGTTCCCTCCTCCCTGGCTTGCCTCCAGGACTTCTCCAGAGTCTATCCCATCCACTGGAACCCCCTGCCCCAACCTGTCCAGCTATCTCCTACTCTGTCTCTTCAGGGAAGTCTATCCCACATCCTCCTAACAACTGAATTAGTACTTTGCCAAACAACTCTTCCCAAAGAGCTGCCACCTTTTGTATCACTAGCCCTTCCCTTTTAGATTGCAAGCTCTCATGGGCAGTGCTCTGCTAACCATCTTGTCTTGAATTGTATTGTAACTATGATTTCCTTATATTGTAAAAACATTACGCAAACTGTTGGCGCTATATAAATCCTGCATAAGTATATAATATAATCATAATAATGCCCCCAGGTGGTCTGCCCATAGGAATGAATACACAAAAAATTATTGGTTCAACTCACAGGTCCCTTTTACACCTCTACATTTCCTTTGTACTGGCTGTTTAGATGACTTGTTTACAGTACTGCAACACTTTTGATTAGGGCTGTAACAACTAATCAATAAAATCAATAATAATCGATAATGAGAATCGTTGTCAACTATTCTCATTATAGATTAGTTGATTCCGATTAGTTGATTCAACTCAACCACCCCCCCACACCACTGCAACTCTGCTCAGCCGTTCTCCCCTCCCCCCACAACTCTGCTCAGACGTATTTCAAATTGCAATAGAAGGCTGGCTATTGCTCACACCCACTACCTGCTGTACATTCCCTGGGTGAAGCTATTCAAGCTCCTTTAAACCCCTAATGTAACCTTAAAGAGAACCTGTCACCTCAAATATGCACATTAAATGTAAAGTCCCCTGCAAGAGGCGACAATTGTGCTATACATGTCAGGTATTGCTGCGTGCACCAGCTTGAGATTCAGAATATTTAAAATCCTTGAAACTAGTTAAAAAGTCTAATATAATACATACAATTTTTTTTAAATGATAAAAGATGGAAAAAAAAGTAATTTTCACTGTCAGCCTGATAAATTCTACTGTGGGAGGTGTGTTGCGGTGCCATTCATTTCAATGGTACCTCAAACACGCCTCCCACATGCAGTGCATTCGCCTGCATTGGAACGCGTGGTACCACAATGCTGTGCGTTCCAGTGTGGTGCGATTGCAAAAAATTGAGCATGCAGTTTTATTCTGAAGTAAACTTTATTTTCATAACACTCCATTTTTGTATTTTATTTTAAATAAAAGATGGTATTTATTTATATTTAATTGAATAATCGGAGAAAAAAAATCGGCCAACTAATCGATTATGAAAATAATCCTTAGTTGCAGCCCTACTTTTGATAGTTAAATACTGCATTTTAATAGAAGTCTATACATCAGACCAATATGAGGGACAACTGAGGTTGAAAGAGGGACAGAGATATTTGGGTTGAAAAGAGGGACCGTTGGGAGGTATGCTGAAAGTCCCTACCTCTGTATGGACTCTGGAATGGAGAAGCGGTTTGCAGGAGCCTGTACACTTCAATGCACTGGCGCAAGGCTTGAAAAAAATTAATTGCACATTTTCCTTTCAATCAAGGTGTGTGCATTTGTTATTTTTTTGCAAAAGGTGGACTATGCCTTCTATAGTTATTAGAACATATTTTTTCACGATACTGGTCCTTCAATGGGACACTTGACCTTCTATGCTTTCCCTCCTTCAACCCAAAATAATTCAATACGTTACTGTCGGCTTCCTGCTTTGGATCACCTGAACTTCGTATTGCCATGGAAAACAGGATGCAACTAAAAATGAACGAAGTCTATACATTCCTATCCACCTAATCTGGTTTGCATCTCCCTGCTAGCCATGCTATATATCTGCCATCTTGCATTTAATAGCTGAAACAGCTGTCAAGCAGTATTATTTTTCTGGCACATAGTTTCCACATCCAGACTGCGGATGCGGAATGAGAAATGCAGGAAGAGAGCCTTGCTAGAAGCCAGCTGTGTTCTGACAGATCTGAATGTTACTATGGGAATTCTCCACAGCAATGACCCAACAGCAAGGAAGGAGTACAAGAGAAGCCTGTCTGCTATGTATGTCACATCCGATCGGCCTTCCAGACTGCAACAACACAGCTCTGTCCCAAAGGTAGGAAACTCTCTAGTCACTGTGGCTAGGCTGCTTCCCACAATGCACCGCAGGCACAGAGATGCAAAGCTTAATATGTCTGTATTGTTGTAGCTGACATACTTCCCTCTTCTGCACTGGATCAGAAAGTAAGATCATTGTATTGATACCATGATACAAAGGCTATGGAATAATCATGAAACTGCCACATATGAAGTGTGTTGCCGACCAGACTGAATAGGCAGAGTAGGGGGCTCATGCACGCTGACGTAGAAAGAAAAATCCTCTGCATTCAGATTTATAAATCTTATGATTTTCTTTATGGATCTGAATGCAGCTCTATTGCATGCTGTGGGGCAATGCATCAGTAAAACTAAGCTGCATGAAGATAAGTAAAAGCAAAATAGAAAGGTCTGCATCCGTAGTCAGTAATTTACATATGTACACATGCATGCACATGCGTAAATCTGAACTATAGCAAGAACAATTTTAAGGATGTGTAGCTCACTGTGGTATTTAGAGCACAGGTTCATCCAAAATGGCAGTCAGAACCTCACAGAACCCTATGTCTAAATTTGACGCAGGCTTTCCCAAGATGTCACCCAGAGCCCATAGCAGGGGACACCTTAGTCCAGTGTTGGGTTCCCTCAAGTTGTAGCATGAAAAAAGTCTTGTGACTGCTGTGCTAAGGGAAAGTGATTTAGGGATCACCTCCCTACACTGCCAGTTTGAGTGCCCGCCAAGGGAATGACCAGCCAGACACCGTTCCTCCGTGCTACAGCAGAGGTCATCTGACCCCCCGCCTACATGCTAGTATCATGCAATGTGTCAAAGATTTCTCTCCAGCAAGGAGAACAGTACCTGAGGATCTGCAGTGCCTGTATCTCCCTGCTTCTGCTTCATCCATTTTGTTGGTCTGTGTTTCTTGCACCTCTCCTACCTCTGCTGGAATATTTCCCCATCAGATCGCCAGTCATCATGGGGGCAGCTCTGATATGATGAAGCAAAATTCATCCTTTCTCAAAATGACTAGAAACACAGTATGAAACAAGGCATGGGAAGTCAGCAATGGCTTCAGAAAGCCTGCAGGCAATAATGGTGACTAGTCATTTATCTCTTTTTAGGATATAGCTTTCACAAAGTCCTCTACAGTATTATTCAAAATCAATGTATGCAGCATGAATTTCAGACCTTGAAGAAACATTGTACTTTACAGCTGAACTCCAGGCAAGCAGATGGATACACAGCTTAAATATATAAGAAATATTTACTTGACAAAATATTTTATATTCTGTCACACCGGTTTTGATGTTAATGGGTCCCTACCAGATCAACAGCCTCCTCTGCAGCAGCAGAAGCCCAATTTTTGGTTGAGAAAACAGCCCTAGCGTGCTGATTGGAGAATGAAGCAGCACCACATTGATGAGGTCATTCTTCTGCTCTCTCCTGTAAGCATGTTCCCTGTCAGGACATGTGCACTGCAACAGAGCCTAACTGCCACCTACTGGCATAGGGGATTCCTCTGCTCCATCTTTTGGTGGGAATGCTGTGCAAACAGTATTTGCCAGCTATGCCCTTGTCGGAAGGTTTATACAACAGCCCCTATGTTTCTAGGGATAAAACACAGTATTATAGCTTTTTCTTTCTCTACTTTTTGCAGATTTTCATCATGTTCTGTGTTGCAGTCCTGGTTACTTTTCTGGGGCTGGTCCAAGGCACATTTGTGGTCACCTCACTGGCTGAGAAGATGACTGGAAGTTTATCTGAGCAAGGCACTATCGTCCCGGCTGAAAGTAAGTAGTGTACTGGACTGTCTAAAGCAGCTAACAGACATGAGAGGACAGTTGCCTGATTTGATCATGTTCAGTCAACAATCTCATGTCTACAGGGGGCAGGAAAGAGATTACTAGCCAACCACTCTCAAGGGAGATATCAAATCTGCCCCAAATGCTATGGTCCTGTATCTCCCTTTCCCCTTCCACCATGCTTACCTTGAAGGAAGAAGAGAGAGTCATAGGCTCCCCATACCCCAAAGTAGGGAGAACTTAGTATATGCAGAAAGGGGGCATTTTCCCCCTAAAATATTCCCAAGGTGTTAAAGCTAATCTCTAGGCTCGCAGGTCCCCCATCCCCCACCCCCCTAACTAATCACTGGTATAAAAAGATTCCCTGCTTTTGTGACCATTTTACGCACCTAAATCAATGGTGGTAACGTGGCATACGAGTCCCAGGTTTTCTCTCTCCTTCTGTTTACAATAGGCAAAGTTCCTCTTTGGGTGTTCCTTATTGCATGATGTGGACATTTCCTATTGGCTACCCAGCAGTGGGAGAAGAAGACTTAGGCTAAGGGGGAAGTTTCTCAGTGATCGCGGTGTGTTCCAGACCTTTGGGAGGGCATGGTGCTTTGGTGCTTCCCAGTTTTTTTTCTGCTTCCTCATATATAAATACTGTATATGTCCACTAATGTACTATTATATACAATCTTTTCCAAAGTTCGGCCATGTGTAGACTGCCATGCGTTTGAGTTCATGGAACGAGCTTTGCAGGACATCAACACAGCAGCTAACAATTTGGACTCTCAGGTATTTGTTTCAGCATGGTTAATGATAATAATACTAAATAATACTATATTACTGTATATGAATGATACTGGTGTTAGCAGTAAATATTAAAATGCATGCATAGTCAAAACGTTTCTTTAGGTTTTGGATAGAGCAAGGAAGGGTTACATTTCCTGTCAGTTTGTTTTTGGTATATGGGCCATTTCTCTTCACTCCTTGACCCAGCGATGCGAGAGCAAAGTAGAGGAAATATCCACAAAGTAAGGGGAATTTACCTGTTACACAGTTGTCACTGGAACACATGTCCTCATTAAATGATTTCCCCTCACCTTTTATTTGGGTGACAACGGACGCCTAGACAAGCAGAGAGGAAGAACCAGGAAAAACAGAAAGGATGAACCAGGACAAATAGAGAGGCTGAACCAGGACAAACAGAGTGCATGAACTAGGGCAAACCAAGAGGATGGACCAGGACAAATAAAGAGGATTAACCAAGACAAACAGAAAGAATGAACCAGGACAAACCAAGAGGATGGACCAGGACAAATCAAGAGGATGAACCAAGACAAACAGAAAGCATGAACAAGGACAAACCAAGAGGATGGACCAGGACAAATCAAGAGGATGAACCAAGACAAACAGAAAGCATGAACAAGGACAAACCAAGAGGATGGACCAGGACAAATCAAGAGGATGAACCAAGACAAACAGAAAGCATGAACAAGGACAAACCAAGAGGATGGACCAGGACAAACAGAGAGAATGAACCAGGACAAATAGAGAGGATGAACCAGTACAAACCAAGAGCATGAACCAGGACAAACCAAGAAGATGAAGCAGGACAAACAGAAAGCATGAACCAGGACAAATCTAGAGGATGAACCAAGACAAACAGAAAGCATGAACCAGGACAAATAGAGAGGATGAACCAGTACAAACAGAGAGCATGAACCAGGACAAACCAAGAAGATGAACCAGGACAAACCAAGAGCATGAACCAGGACAAACCAAGAGCATGAACCAGGACAAACCAAGAGCATGAACCAGGAGAAACCGAGAGCATGAACCAGGACAAACCGAGAGCATGAACCACGACAAACCGAGAGCATGAACCAGGACAAACCCGAGAGCATGAACCAGGACAAACCCGAGAGCATGAACCAGGACAAACCGAGAGGATGAACCAGGACAAACCGAGAGGATGAACCAGGACAAACAGAGAACATGAACCAGGTCAAACCAAGAGTATGACCCAGGACAAACAGAGGGCAAACCAAGAGGATGAACTAGGACAAACAGAGAGCATGAACCAGGGCAAACCAAGAGGATAACCCAGGAAAAACCAAGAGGATGGACCAGGACAAACAGAGAGAATGAACCAGGACAAATCAAGAGGATGAACCAAGACAAACCGAAAGCATGAACCAGGACAAACAGAGAGGATGAACCAGGACAAACAGAGGGCATGAACCAGGACAAACAGAGAGGATGAACCAGGACAAACCGAGAGCATGAACCAGGACAAACAGAGAAGAATTACCAGAACAAACCGAGAGGAGGAATCAGGACAAATACAGAAGAATAACGAGAACAAACCGAGAGGAGGAATCAGGACAAACAGAGAAGAATACCAGAAGAAACCGAGAGGAGGAATCAGGACAAACAGAGAAGAATAACCAGAACAAACTGAGAGGAGGAATCCGGACAAACAGAGAAGAATAACTAGGACAAACAGAGAGGAAGATCTAAGAGAGAAGAAGAACCAGGACAGAACTGTAATTCCACAAAACACCAGGAAAGAGAAAAGAGAGATGAATTTATCTTTCATGGACTACAGTAAGTCTTCTGACTCCTCTCCTCAACCCCCTTTTAAAATGATGGTTAAAGATACCAGCAGTAAGATGACGACTTTACATATACCAGTCTATCTGCCTGTACTGGCAGAATCTTCTTCAAACTAAATAACAGTCCCTCCTCTGTCCTCTCCCCTATAACAGCTTCCCACTAGCATCATTTTAATTAATTAGCGAAGCAAAGATATATTTAGAGATCTAGAAAAGAATGAGGCCATAAAGAGCAGTGGGAGACACAAAACAGCAGTCATTATGCAAGCTCCATTCATTAAACAGAGTATTTTTAACGACTTTGATGAATTAGCCAGTTTATTTTAACCAGCCATCTCACACACAATCACCGGTGCTATTGGAGGCAGTGAGGCTGTGTTACTACTACTGTGAATTTAACAAGTTATTAATATGCAAATGTGATGAGTATCACCTGAGACTAGGGGAATGAGCAATAGTTCTACAATATATTTTGAAGTTAGATGTGAGACGTTGTTTTTTTTGGAGAATTGATTCATGATTTTTTTTAACCATTATACAAACAGGCAAAAATTAATAATCAGCCCACAAGGGTCTTTAGGGCCAGTTAACACTACTGTGCTGTGACAACTTCAGGTGAATACATGAAAATTGGCATGCATTAATGGAGTGCATAGCAATACATGAAACACAAGGCAATGCCATTTATTTTGAATGGCACCTTAATGCACCTAGGCAGCGTGCCTCAATGCACTTGCACCGTAGCGCACCACAGTGCACATGTATGAACCATCTGTGTGCTGTGTGACTCTGCAGTAATAAAAATTGTTGTATGTCTGGTTTTATGTTCTTTGTGGTGCATTGACAGAGTATTCAAAATGAATGTGCCACCTAACATCACACACTAAAAAATGTGGTATTTACAACTGCTGATCTCCTTAAAAAGTGCTAACCTCCTGGATGTTATGCTGGTCCTTTGGCTTCAATTCTTTAAAGTAGTATTAAAGTCACCGGTTTTTTTTAACATATATCTACTTTACATATGTAAATATATGCAAAAACATAAAAAAAAATTGTAAAGTTACCAAAGAGGTAAATACTTACCTCTGCCGCTCGCTTCCGGCTGCAGATCTGAAGCTTCTCAAGCGGCTGTGCAGGAGGATGTGTGCGGGCGCATGTACAGTAGAGATCACCAGCGGGGAGAAGAGGAGAGACTCACTGTAAGTCAATGCACGTAGCTCTGAGCGCATACACCGGACATACGCTGTGGGAAACAAGGAGTCTGCGCTGGATTAGAGATTGGCACTAGCGCTGGAGGGATTGCTGAAAACAAGTGGAAAGAAGAGGATCATCGGATCAAGAGGCATCATTTAAGGGTTGTCCTTAAAGCAGCATGGGGGGGCAAAGCCGTAGCCAGCTCCTTTTGCGCCCGAGGCAAGAACAAAAAAATGTGCCCCCCCCAACAGGCGCGTGACGTCACCCAATGCCGCACAAGCACGGCGTCATGTGACGTCATGCGCCCCGCCTCCAGGTTGTGTTTTTTATTATTTTTTTATTGTAATTTTTTTTTTTACTGTTGGAGGCTTCGGGGAAATATTAGGTGTCTAAACAGCCCCCTGATATTTCCCTTTTAAAATAGAAAAAGAAATTGAGGACACCGAGTCCTCAATCTCTTTTTCTGCAGCCTCTGTTATAAATGAATGGAAAGTACAGAGGCTTCCCATTCATTCAGAAAATATTTACTATCAACCAGTTTCTGAATGGGGAGGAACCTCTGTACAGAGTGCTACTACCCATTCAGAAATTCATGAATGAACAGGAAGTGATGTAAAGCTCTTCTTGTTCATTCATAACTGGGGACACATAGTACTATGTGTCCCTAGTTATTTACAAACACTGGAGTGATCAGCTGATCACTCCAGCGTTTGTTCTGCACACAGAAAATCGGTAAATATCACACATATTTACCGATCCTCCGCTCTCCATCCTGAGCCTGCAGCCTCTTCTCAGATCCCCGCTGCTCTCTTCCACCTGTATGGGTTGAGGCAGCAGGGATCTGAGGAGAAGTGAAGCGCCGAGCAGTGAGGAGAGAGAGAGCCGCCGACTGTCAGATACTGGCCGAGCGGCTTTCTCTCTCCTTACAGCTTGCCCATCCTAAAGTGATCTTTTTTATCACAGGAGGACATTTACTAATGTCCTCCTGTGATCCAAAACTCAGCATATAGCGGGCTATTGCCGCTATATGCTGACAAGCCGCAGAGCCGAGCTGCAGCTGGGAAGGATTGCAACAATATTGTCAGGATCCACCCGTTGCTTGATTGACAGCTATCTCTGTCTCTTTAGAGCCAGAGCCAGCTGTGCCTTCCCCCTCCCATGTTTGTCGCTCTAGTCAGCACTGGAGAAACAGAGAGGGGAGGGGGATCCCTGCAGGGAGAGATGAGTGATGGTCACTGCTCTCTGCAGGGAGAAGATTGCGAGCCAAGTGATCAGCAGTTTGTGATCACTCATCTCTTAAACAATAGAGCCAACATGTGACAGCTGCAGTGTTACATGTTGGCTCTAACTATGGGGACACGTGCATTTCACTCTCCCCATCGTTCCCCTTTAAAAAAGATTGATGCCTTTTTTTTTCTTCTGTAAAATTGCTATCAATTATACTTGCGAGGTCTATTTCTAAACAATTCACAGAGCCATGAAGCTCTGTGCACGCTCATTCTGTGCAAATAGAGGCAAAAACAAACATTCTTTGTATATTTTCTTTTCAGGTCGAATGTAATGTAATGTAGTACTGCATTATGGCCACCAAATAGCACTGAGGAGCACAGGAAATAAATACTTATTTCCTGTGCTCCTCAGCTCCATCTAGGGTCCATAATTCAGTATCTAGGGTCCATAATTCAGTATAGGGCAAATGGCTCTGTGGATTGTTTAGAAATAGAGCTCTTGGTATGTTTCTAAATGTGTTTCAATGTGCTCTCTCTCATTGTTGTCATGCAGACAGAGAAGCTTCTTCTGAGGACAGAGCAACGGAGCCTATGTGACTGCACTGTGTGAAGCCAGGAAGCAGAAAAAAACAGCTGCATTACCAAGACTAGAAATTTATAACACCTAGTATCACCGAATCATTATGTATCACTGCAATACTATTCACTATGAGATTTTACTTAAGAAACACGTCTCACAAAATAACGAGGATTGCATTACTGATACCCTGTATTTATCAATACTGCAGGTACAATAGAAATCTCAAGAGATAAGTAATAACAATGTATAGACGATGTTGGAAATCAATAGAATTGACAGGGGACTTCCAATTTAATAACGAAACCTCCCTAGGGTGAGTCTCTGTGCCGCCTATAGCTTCTAGATTTTAGCAGGACCTAAAGATTTCAAAGCAGTGCCACCTACTGGTGAAATCTGGTATTGTTCTATAACCATTACAACACAGGTTTACTGTATCGAGTACAAGGGTCCCTCTGCTGCATGCAGGGATAAAGTGTGAAGTTGCAAGGCTGTATGTACTTACTCTTTAAATTCTTTTTTAAAGAGGTTAGAAAATGATAGAATTTTCCTGATTTGTTGACATCAGTATAGTGCCTAGTTTGTACCTGTACACATCTTTATAAATGATTTTTATTATGAATGAACACCTTGTAGACACTGTTCAAAATGGCCTGGCACCCTACACAGAATCTCACTGCTCACCCTTATATTATGATATATTATTTGTGCTTTAGTAATATAAGAGTTGCACATGTGTATACTCTGAATAAACACACAGTTTGGATTGCTTTGTGTTTTATTGTGATTTTTCATGAGGATCTAAGTACTCCTTAATACTGTAGTTCTGTAACTCCTGGAGGGTCAGAAAACCTTCAGCAGCACCGTTTAATTCAGGAGCTGAATGTGAACCAGATTCTGTCCTGAACTCAAACTAAACAGCATCACCAGTACATTAAACACCTTGGGCCACATTATTGCATGTAACCAATGCTCATGAAAGCCAGTGAGGCAAGGCAGACATATTCATCATTTGTCTTAAGAATAACAGAGCAGAAAACTGAATTTATATATCATCACTTCCATAGCAAATCCAAAAGGTATGTGGATTATGCCTCATTAAAGGATTGTGGGCAGAGGCAGAGCCATACAAATCTTTCATCTATGCACCACTGATGATGGCCAACTAGGCTGAAACAGCTGTGTGCAGTTTGAAATAAGTGGCTCTATATTATTATTAGGATGTATCTGTGCTATACATCAGCAGTTCTGGTTGACCAGTTGGCCACTGTGAAGCCCAGTAGAGTCTCCCTAAAGTGATGTAGCCGGAAAGGCAAGTATATGTATACTTCTTTCAGGTGCAGCTATGCTTTTATAACCCCTACACTGGCAGGGTCACTTGAAAGCAAGAGGTATGTACATGTTATCCCTAATATCACAAATCCAAAGAATATGAGGTTTAAGATGTTTCTAAGGTAACACCGGTGCTGAAGACCAGGCTCCCTGTGGAGTCCACAATGTCTGTATTCGTCTTCAGATGTATGTATGTTTTTGGGCCTGGAGTTCAGCTTTAATGTTCTCTATGGCCTCATAACTTTTATTGTCCAGTGCACATTTAGACTTGACAAGCTGAAGGGCCAATTTGTGTCTGTTTTGGTCTTTGCCCATGAATTTCCCCCAAGTATGCAGTATTCTGGTGGATTGAATGACTTCTGACATGTTGCCACTAAGGTGTATTGGTATGAATGTGGTAGGGAAATTAAAGTATAAGCTCCAGACAGAGGCAGAGACCAGTGTGAATTGTCATCAATATACAAAATATATACAATTAATAATATTGATGTCAGTAGTAGTGTATTGACAGCACTGCAGAAAGACGGTTCATTTCAGTACTATATGGATAGAAGATACATAGAAGATGTGCTAACAGCAGTACTCTAGGGTTGCCACCTGTCCAGGATTCACCCGGACAGTTCGTGTTTTGAATGCTGTGTCCGGGTTTCATGGCAGCTGAAACTCGGACACAAGATGTCAGGCAGACAGGGGCAACCAAAATTGAGATAGGGGCTAGAGGCCTCCCCACTGAAAATACTGTCAACTGTCATATTTACATATTAATGGTTGATTCTATTTACATATGAATAAGCCGCAGCTCATTCTCCCAAAAACATTTCTGTGCATCACTAGAGTGTTCGGGTTTCGATGGAAGAAAAAGTGGCAACCCTAGTCCACAGGCACCCTGCATACCAGCCCACCAGTCTAAAGACACCCATCTGTGGTCCATGCCAGACACTAGGGGCTTCATGTATAACTAATTCACATTATGGCCACTAGATGGGGCTGTGGAGCACAGGAAAGAAATACATACATCATATATATATTTTAAACTACTGTGGGCTATAAAAAACAAAAGGTTTGTTACAAATCATGTCCCTGAGGAGCTAAGATCCCTTGTTACACATCATTCTGTGATTGTAGAAGAAAGGTTTAGAGCCATAAAGGCCTGGTATGTATCCATTCCCCACTATAGCTTTATACATAACATTATGCACAACAATTCTCTAAATAATTGCAAAGTTGCCTCAGATGGTGAATTTAGCATCTCATTGTGCTGTAAAATGATTGCAGGCTGCATCTGGGATGTTTATTTAAGATAAGGATTGTAGGAGTATAAAATAAATACTTTAGTTAGGATTCTTCATGCTGAATTAATGTCCTATGCATACGGAATGCCATTTATTTTTTAGTATAGTACAGTGGCAGCAATCCAAAATAGAGGTGGCCAACCTCCTGATGGAAGACTAGTTTTAAAGCTGAATGCCAGTATTTGCTGCATTGTTCTTACAGGATATATTCTAGCCAAAATCATTATTTGTATAATAGAATTTGCCTATTTAATTCAGTTTAATCATTTTATAAATATTAATATTTCAAATGCGACTTAGTTAAACATTTTAAATGCAGGGTTCTATGGGTGGGGGAGATTTTCAAATGCAAGCATTCACAAGAAGAAGGATAGAGAAAATATAATGTGCAACCCCATATTGGTGTTGTCCACTAAGCATGCCCTCCTCCTCCTCATATTTTTTTGTCCAGTCTTTCTCACCACCAGCACAATGTCAATTGTCAGGACTGTGTGGCCCCAGAATACAGCATTTTGCCGATTATCTGCACCTGCTAGAAGGAACTACATTGTCCAATCTATGTGAACCCATCCCAAAGTGCTCTGCCCAGTACCAACACTAAGTTCCTGTGACCCCTACAAATTGTACCTTTTTAATATCTGCCCAAGCCCAAAATGTAATGCCTGGTCTTTGGCCTCTGGAAAAAGAAAAATTGTCCAGTTCCTATGACTTTAAATAAAAGTATATTGCCTAGTGAGTCCTTGTGGATTCAGGAGAAAGTAGATTGCCTTCTCTTTGTGGCACCAGGAGAAACCGGAAAATTGGACTTCATACTTACCGCAATTTTCCTTTCCTGTCGGCTCCATGTCAGCACACAATGGGTTAATCCCATCCCCCTCCTCTCTAACAGGATAGTAACTCATAAATTTGGGCTTCCCAGAATCCCCACTGTTCCGTAACTAGACGATTTCGAAATGGGTGGGAATCCATGTGCTGACATGGAGCCGACAGGAAAGGAAAATTGCGGTAAGTATGAAGTCCAATTTTAGCATTATCCTAGCCAATGATCTTATCATGTCTAGCGATGCTTCCGCCATAAAGGTGGAACATAATTTAATGTTCCTGAGAATATCCGAAATCTCAGATTTACTGAGATCCTCCAATAATGCTGACTCAGCATTATCCGACCAAACTTCCAAAGCCTTCTTCCAGAAATGGAAAAGTAGAGACTTCCTTCCTGGTCTGTTTAAAGAATCGCTTCCTCTTCTCCGGTTGCTCTACCGGATCTTCCCAAAGCAAGGCCTGTCTCACGGCCTTCACAAAGGGCTGAACCAGAGCAAAATCGAACCCATCAAAGTGGTCCGCTTCATCCTCAGACGAAGAGGCTCCCTCAGACCCCACGGGAGATCTTACACTGGAGGCCCCTTCCGGCCGTATAGAACGCACCCCAGAGGGCCCAGGCGTAGCGTCAGCCTGTGGCCGTGAGCTTTGTGGAGGCTGAGACTTGAGGGCAAACTCCTTCAGGGAATCATCAAAGATCTTCTTAATCAAAGAGATTACTTGCAAGCTGTCGGTCTGCTTGTCCCTGGTTGCATCCAAGAAACATGATTCACATGCCGTCTTTCCTGGCAGCGCTGTGTTGGGACAAGCCCAACATCCAGTTGGAGGCGGTTGAGGGTGATGCTGAAGGGTAGACGATCCGGAAGGACATCGGTGGTCTATGGCAGAGTCAGGCGGTTCGGCCCTATGTCTGGAACGTGATCCCTCTCCAGATGGGGATCTGTGCCTTGACGAAGAGGAAGACCTCCGAGCACGCCGCGATGAGCGGGAGAGTTCACGAGAAGATATGAATGGACTGAGACAGCAGAAGAAAAAACTCAGAAAAAGGCCCAAAATTTAAAAGAAAAACATTTTTTAAAACTTTTTATTTTTTTTATTTTAATTTTTTCAAAAACTAAAAGTTGGGAGCCGCCGCCTACCTTCTTTTAGAATGCTGGTCTTCTTGAGGGGTTGACTTTTCAAACGGCATGCTGAAAACACATACGAGTACCATTTAGGAACCACAAATGCTTAAAACCAGAAGGATCCCACTTCAGGGACAGAACATACCTGTAGTGCAGTATGAAGAGACAGTTGGGCAAGGCAGGCGCACACAGAGTGGAAGCTCCAAGTAGCAGCAGCAGCCACCTTGCAGGGGATAGACTTTTTAAAATCCCCGCCAGAGTGGAAGCTCCGCCCACTCCGCGGCAAACCGCCGCTAATGCGCATGCGCCGGCCAGACGCCGGCACTTCCGCCCAGCTGTGGAGCGCACAGCTTCTCCTGTGCGTTCCACACACACACCGCCGTGACACTCCGTCGACCTGCCTTGCAGACGAAAAAGTCTAAAGGCTAAAACGGCAACGTCCATACCCCCGACCCTGTACCTGTCACAGGCGCGGTCGTCCCGGATACCAGCAGCTGGATTACGCAG